AAAAAACCTTGTGTTGTGCAGAAATCAATGTTGTTGAAGTAAAAAATCCGAGCTTTCAGTAAAGCGGTTTTAGGGTAGCTGCTGTGTGAAGCAAAAGACAATTGGGAGAGGATACTATGACCTTTGACTTGGACCATTATTAAACAGGAAAATCGTCCAGCTCAAAACCAAGATGGAGGCAGGTGTGAGCAAAAAAACTGCAGACCAAGTTAGCTTCATATCTACCTAGTAGCACTGCATGTTAGTCTCAAGCAAAAAACATGTCCATTGCCTGATAAAAAGTAATAAAAGTTTGCGAGCTACAGGCAGAATGCTGTCAGAAAAACGCTTCGGACAGTACTCTGAAAATTTGATTTTTCCGAAAAGCATGGTCCGTAACTTGATGTTCCACTTACTTCAATTAGTGCCAACAAACCATTGAGGTTTTGGAATGACGACTGTACTACCTTCAATTTTCTGGACAAAAACTCTTATCACATAGAGAGTGAAAGCGTCATAGAACATTCAATAGTTTACTTTTCTGAATATTGCTTGAATGTGTAGTTGGAAGCAAAACAAAATTAGAGCTTCGAAAATCAAATAAAATTTTTGAAAAAACACTGATTAGTTGGGAATGACCAGATGAAGGCATGACACTGATAGATCATCGAGAACTGTAGTAGACACGAACATCTTTGGCAACACACCGCGAAAACGGTTTTCGAGAAAGTGCTTGTTGGCCATATGTTGTCCTCTTCATCCGACCTTCAGCGTAAAACGGAACAGGTCAGATTAATTTATTTCAGCACTACTCGGCAAGTGTAAAAACGCGAAAGAAAATTGAGAGCAAGAAAAATACTGCTGCCGACTTTAGCTCTCCGGACTTCCACCTTTTTGGTAAGTACTAAGGGGAAACGACGGTTGGGTTTACGAGTATTCAGCGTCTGTTTGAAGATCTTCGAGAACCGCTACCTTTATAGAACGAATAAAATGCGTGCAAGACAGGCAATGAAAGTACAAGGCCTCCCTCGTAGCCATCTCCGTGATTGCTCGATGAAAGAACTTGCCACTGGGCGTACGCGATGTTGCACTAACGTAAAACTGCATGCGGTTTACACTGCGTAGGCATTCTTACAGTCCTTCTGTAGCGCTTTTTGCTGCAAAATGCTCTCGAATGACTTGTTCGCTTGATCCCATCAATCTGCTCGACATTCCATGACCAGCACTTGGTGCTGGTCCCGGGCAGAACGACTGTCTCTTATCGATCTCCGGGTTAGCGAGCGCTCTGACTAGCCGATTTTCAGGCGGCTTACTTGCATCTTGTCCGATGTTCCTCTGTTGCAATGTCATGATTCTCTGAGAAAGTCGACCAGGATAAACCACCAGCTATCCAGCCCTACAGAAGAAGCTTTGTCAGCATGAAACTGTGTGCCGGGCACTACTTGCTGATCACTTTCTTTATCGCTACACAATGTTTGCTAATCTTCCTCCGGTATACCTTGCATGGAGTCGATTACTATCGTCTGAGACGTGTCCACAATCTCGTGAATATGGAGTTTGTCATGGTATTGGGTTCAATGTTCATATGGAAGAGGGTCACTGATGCGTTGAGGTAGGTGTGGTGCTTTGAAGCTTTGAAGTTTGCAAGAGTCGAAACCGAAGACAATCTCGGACAAAAACAGACAACTCAAGAGCGAAAAAAAACAAAGTAGGGTAGGCAATAATCGGGGGTGGTCTGGCATAGCTTATCGATTTTATTGTGATCACATCGTAGGGATAAAGTACAGCGCGAGAAAACTCTTTTGATGTTATCGTTTCGTACCTCTAACGGCTCCTCCATTCTTGAATAAGTAGCGCTATATGAGGTAGTTAAGAGAACTACTAGTCTGTAAAGGTCAACCACCGCGGGTTGTTTATCACTCTGCAAATTCTAATGACGGCTATCTGCAATTCACCACCTTGTTATTTGGAAAGTGCAATTTGACCATTCAAGAGACATAAGGTCGCCAAGTAGGCCATATTGAAGTGAGGTTCAGTTCTCCAATCAGCAAATCTTGTCTCCTTCTATCTTTGTCCAGTTTGCGTACATTAATATTCTTATATCCATGAAGGTATATCAATACGACATCGCTGGGACTGTACGTTTGAAATTTGAATTCAGTTTCTCTCAAATGGGTCGTTGACTTGCAAAGCGCTGCTACTAACCACACCGCTTCTGCTTCAAAAGTTGCATTGAGTTCACCTAAATTCCATTGGGAATATCTCCAAATTTACCACGACTTTGTTACGGACATAGGTTTTTTAGTCACTTGGATCCGGATAAAATCACACCGGCTCGTTTTCGCTGGCGAACAATATGCTTCCAAGATGTAGCTCGAGCGACCCTATTCATCTTATTAGCACTGTCTCAGCTCTCATTTCTTTTTTATTTCTTCTTACTTGGTAAGTCTTTTTAGCATATCTGTGATTGATTAGCAAATTTCTTTTTAGGAGAAGAGCCCCATATCCTAGCACAGTTCAGTCTAGTTGGTTTGGCTGCATATCTTCACGCTCTTATTTTCTTGGCCATTGCCGAGTTAACTTACTGGGTTGCTAAAGCTTTGTACAAACTCGACTATTTCAAATCTCAGTGCAGGTTAGTGATTTCGAAATTCGAATTTCGTGGGACTTACCACATTTTTCAGGTATGTGATCAATGGTCGTCATCTCTACACTTACTTGTCCTTATTTTGTGCAGCATTATTCATTTTGGGTGGTCTCTACGTTACGTTTTCCGATCCGGTATACACCCGAGTGACGGTTCCTATTAGGGTAAGTAAACTTATATGTTTTACACGATTTCTTGTCGAAGCTAAATAGTGATGGTGTTCGTTTTGTGTGTTATTATCTTTTGACGGGGGAATACGTTTGGAAATTTCAAATGGTTTTGTCTATTTTTTCTGCTTTGCAACACCCGGAATGCTTCCCTTCTGCAGAATTTACACAATGGCGACGTAAAAGTGGCACTGCTCAGTGATCTTCACATTGGCCCGACCGTTGGACAGAAGAGGATGAGCAGGATCGCGGAATTGACGAATGACCTGGATCCCGGTTTGTTTATCAGCATTAGAAACTTTTATAAGGAAAGAAATTAGATGTTCACGAGAGTTTGATGATTATGTAGCGTTGTCACTGTACATCTGACACCGGTTAAAAGCAATCATGAATTTGCAGATATCGTGGCGATATCTGGAGATCTCGCTGACGGCTTTGTTAGGGACTTTGAGGGTGCTGCTAGCCCTCTGTGCAAGTTGAAACCTAAATACGGGGTGTATTTTGCTACAGGTAAGACTTCTTTCTCTAGCTTTGCTTCCTGTTCTCTTCTTTGTTGGCATCATAGATATTCAAGGTAACCATGAGTATATGCACGGAAACGTTGAAGAATGGTTTGCTTACTTGGAGGGATGTAACGTGACTGTGCTTCACAACTCTCAGAAACGGATTGTACTACCGAACGGTGATAAAATATGCGTTGCTGGTGCTGATGATCTTTATGCAGCCAAAGCTCAGTGAGTCTTGATTTTGATCTTTTATTTGAAACTAGGCATGTCCTGATGTTGAACGTATATTGTTCAGTTTTCCTGGACATGGTATGGATGCGAAGAAGGCTATTGTCGGTTGCCAGCCCGGCGATGCGGTTATTATGCTTGCTCATCAGCCGAATGCAGCTCGTGTAATGCTTGATGATAGAATCGTTAGTAAAAGGGTCGACCTCATTTTATCAGGTCGGCTTTCAAAATTTCGGCACATTTACACAATCTTCCCACTTTTGTGGTCGTATAATTTCATTTTTCAAATTGGTCACCGCTCAATGAATCAATATGCCTCTTTCAGGTCATACTCATGGAGGTCAGATGTATCTATTTGTCCCAATAATCTACCTTGTTAATGCGTTCGCCAGGTTACATATTTCCCTTTTTATTGCATCCATATACAATCCTTTGCTCCTTCTTTCAGAGGTCTCTACTACAATGAACCAACGGGAGTATATGTGTATGTCTCAGCCGGTGTCAACTATTTTGGTCCCCCCATAAAGATGTTTGGTGCCTGTGAAATCATTGATATCACTCTGAAACCAGTGATCTGAATTGCTTTAGGTGTTGTGTATGTACTAATCAATATAGATTTACATCTTGTTAGTTGTTGATTGTTTTAGTGCAATAAATTTTATCATACTGTATTTTCTGACGAAAATATTTTCACTTGAGCATTAGATGTGAGTAAGTGAGCAATTTTTGTCTGGAATCAATTTTTTCTTCTGTTTCTCTTTATGATGGTGTTCGTCGAACCACGAGTTTCCAAGGTTTGTACCTTGGAAACTCACTCTGCTCAGTCACCGGAAATCCTAGCAGGAGTTGAAGATTGTAGATCTATCCAGTGTGTGCATTGAAGTTGTGATTATTTGGTGTGAACAGCGTACTCATACAGTTTTAGTTTAGAGAGGAAATAATCTTTTTGAGCTTGAGGCGGCGCCACGGGTTCCATGTTTGCCTAAGTAGAGAGAGAGAGAGAGAGAGG